CAGACAGACAGAGGGACAGACAGAGAGACAGACAGACAGACCGACAGACGGACGGACAGACTCGGAGGAAACCTATAGTCCCCTCCGGTTTCACCGGTAGGGGACTAATAAACATGAAAGAGGGTAAAATTAAGTATTGTACATTGTAAAACACATGAAAAATAGTATAATGAGGTTGAAAATAAATGTTCGATTTCCTTGTAAAACGGATTGCACAATTGAATTTTCTGTTTATTAATATTTTTTTTAGTCCCCTACCGGTGAAACCGGAGGGGACTATAGGTTTCCTCTGAGTCTGTCCGTCCGTCTGTCTGTCTGTCCGTCTGTCTGTCTGTCTGTCCCACTTGGTTTTCCGCACTTTTTCCTAAACGCTTGCAGATATTGAGCTGATTTTTGGTATGTGAGTGTATCTTAATGAGGTACAGATCAAGTTTGCATTTCGTTCCGTTTCATTGATTTTTGACGGAATTACGGCCTTTTCAATTTTTACGGGTTTTCCGCAATTTTCTTTTAAACGCTTGTAAATATTGAGCTGATTTTTGGTATGTGGCTTTACCTTGATTAGTTATAGATCAAGTTTACATTTCATCCCGCTTCATTAATTTTTGGCGGAATTATATCATTTTCAATTCTTAACGGGAACAAGATTACACTTGCCGGTAGGGGACTAGTATTGCTAATACAATACTCTCAGAATGCTTGGGTTTTTTTGCCTTAATTTGTGTATTTTTGTTATCTATAAGGTGAATTTTCTTCAACACTTGAAGGGAAAGAAAATAGAGAGATTTTGCCGTGAACTTGTTATTTTCACAGTGTGAAAATAATAACTGTGAAAATATTAATTTTATTCAACAGATTTCACTTTTGAAAATGTAATTAAGAAATATGTGTTTTGCTTGTTTTTATTTTTTAATATTGAAATACATGTTCCCGTAATATACAGTATTGTACTAAATAGCAGACATTTATACTCACTGCATGTATGACATTTATACTCAATTTGATGGTCATCGTGACAAATCGTACGTGTACACCTGTTCCTATAAATAATCATTCTTTATTCAAGTAATTTTACAAAGTTTTTGCACCTTGTCATTCTGATAAAAGTGTAATTAATTTAAAAAAAAAAAGCGACATATGATTAATGGTTCTATTTCATTCACAACTGCGCCTATTTAGTATTTTCTATAGTTACTTCCTATGACAGTGCACATTATGCAAATTTGACAGCTTTTATCCACTAGACGCTTCATTACCGGTCATGCGTGAATTGTCCAGAGAAACAGAAAATAGAAAACAATGGCTAAATTTTGGTTGACTGTAACAATTGAAGTTGTGTCAGTATTTTCCCGGTGTCTTCTTTCCTTGTGGTTTTATAGCCATTTTCTAGACGGTTTTTTCTCATTATAGGTTTACTTATTGCAGATACGCTTCATTGAATTTGGTTTTACTACAAGGCGTTGTCGCCCTAGCTATTTCTTAATGTCACATTTGTCTCAGAAAAAAATGAGCATTAATACACTAATAAGACAATGCACATGATAATGTATTCTTTGCATGTAAACAAAACTTTCTGGAACCGGACTAAAGTGGGTTTTTCTCAGACGTTTTTGAAAGGAATTTCGTCTTAAGAGAACAGTGAATAAAATCGTTTTCAAATATGTTAGTGGATATGTGAATATATTCATTTAATAATGAATCGTAAACAGCACATTGGACGACTAAGGGACTACCGCTCACAGGTATGATCTTGTTTGAACTGTTAGATCATGTTGTTTCATTGACCATGAGATTTTTTAAATTTGTTTAAAATTTACGAGGACTTCCTCGAACAAATATGGTACTGATGTGCACAAAATGATTATATATAAGTAATATATATAAGTAAAAAAACCATTTCAATAATATAATATGAATTTTACAATCAAAAGCTTTGCCTAACATTATATAAACCTCTTTTTTTTCTTTTTAAATAAAGAGATTTGGATGATAGTGTAGAGATGTTGATACCTGTAATAGTACGATTAAAAAATTACGAATACTGTGGTTTTGAAACATTCAAAACTGTTAAAAAAAAAAAAAAAAATTAGCATGTAATAAAATCGGAATAAAACAACGTTAGATAAATGGAGTTGCATTTTCACGGGTATATATACGTTGCATACACGTGCTAGCTAATATACTCTATTGTGTTAATGCATTTTTGAAAAGGTAAAGTAAAAATCAACTGTTTATACTGAATGTATAAATGTCCACAAATTATTTTAATATTGATATGAAAATATTTCTGAGTTTGTGAACCCGAACATTTTTAATGAAATAATCCACCTTGTATTTGAAAAGGTCACTATGTTCAATTATTCAAAGTAATCTAATTTTAGTTTTTTCCTACGAACGAACTGACACCTATAAGGAAAAAGATGACGTTTATCCATTTAATAAGTTAAAATGATATATCAAAAATAGTTTTAAAAAAATCAGTTTTATTTAATTTAGTCAGAACTTTTGATTTCGGAATGAACGATGGTGGGTATTCATTTATAAAAATATGTTAAGTAAGAGTCAGTTTATATGTTCTGCATTATAGTATAATGTAATGAATACAATTATTTTAATACATTCTATTTATGAATTCCTGATTAAGTTACCTGATGATCCATACCTTTAATGAACATGAATGAAAGCAAGAGATCCAGTTCACCGAGTCTATGTCCTAAATTAAGACAAGTACAAGTTAATTAATTACATGTTACTCCAATTGGATCAATTATACAATCTGCTTTTTAAGCGTTTAACTTAACATGCAATAAATGAAAAAAAATATTTGTAGATTCTTAAATGTACATTGTAACATGAAAACAAATTAAGCTCGTCATTAAATTAATTTTAAATTAAAATATTGAAAACAGATAATCGTTTAAGAATTGCAATATTACAGAAACTGTAAATATCATCATTTTGAATAGGGAAAAAAATATATTATATCAATCAAAATAGTGCTACTATATTTTCCTGATTTGTTACATGTTTCTTCTCATTAACATAATAGATAATCTAAATACAAAACAGAAGTCTCTGTAATTAATCACTTCATTATCGTCTTCAGACTTGTTTGATGTACATGTTTTGAAACAATCGCATCACATCAACCTATATTCCCTGTTTGCTTCACGTGACCAGATTTATATCTATAATACTAATCAATCTTTGAGGGTTACACCTAACTTTAAGATCTAGAAAAATATGACTAACAAAGGATGGAATGCAATAGATATATGTACATGGGTCAATTTAGCACTCGATCTTTTTTAATAAACAAATAGTTTTTTTATGTATACATACTCTTATAAATTAAATTTGTAATTATCAGAGCAATATATTACTTGGAAAGGAAGTGTTGCATTATCAAATATGGGTAAATACCACTCACTTAGGTATAATGCATGCATAGTTTGTTTTCTTCAGAAAAAAATCTATTAGCAATTCATGAACTGTAAAATTAATGCAAATGTGGAAGCTCAGTGTTCAAGGCGCTAACAACATATGCTTGGCTTTATTTTTTATTTTTTTTTTTTTTTTTGACACTTGGAATGCAAAATAATTACATATGTTGAAGATTATTGAGATTTTTTTCTCTTTTTAATATAAATAATATTACGTAATTGCAATTGTACAACGAAGCAATGTCTCGTTGTGAACATTCAGATTGTTGTAATTTAAGGATAATAAAAAAAAATTGCGTATTATTTCTTGTATGTTTCTTGAACAAACCATTTATTAATCTTATGATTTATATGCAAACTCTTATTTACAATAAGCAACATAAATCACAAGATAATCGCATAGGAAGGACAAGATTATCGGAATATGAATCACTCATTTTTATTTATTCATCTATGTTGATTTCTTTATCTATTTTTTTTTTATTTTGTGCATATAAATAAAAAGTTTTCAAATATAAATATCAATTTTTGGAATGCAATTCAAAAGATTTCACAAAAATGAACGTTTATCGAATATAAATCACAAGATCTAGAATATGAATTACAAGGTTTTGCATATGAATAACAAATTTTCGAATATAAATAATAAGTGTTCGAACATGAATAATAAAATTTTGCTTATAAATCACAAGATTTATCAAATTTTTTTTGACAGGATTTGTATTATAAAGCATTCTATAGGCAAAAACGCGAGGGAGGGCTAGAGGGGGTACGATAAAATAATTAGTTTCACCCTTGCATTGTCGTATATATTCATACCCCTTTAGTTTCGCTCTTGCTGTCTCGTTCTCTCGCCTTAAATGAAGAAAAGAGAGACTGAGAGAGAGACGTCCTAGAAGTAATTGCTATAGCAAAGCTTCTTCCAACATAATAATGCTCGAAATCAAGGAACATGTTAGATTTCACAGTTTTTATGTATTAATTGTGCCACCTAAAGAAAGATAACAAAAATAAGTTGAAAGGAGTTGTATAAATAACCCCATAAAACTTTTCCGGTAGATTGATTACACGTGGGAGAAATGTGATGGTGATACTATTTCTTGAATAGCTCCATATATGAAAGAAGGAATGTTGATTTGAACACATTTTATTGTAATTTCTATTTACAAAAGGATTGGGCACAAGTTCTAAAAACTTATTACACCCTCTGCCTACCAGTAAATTACAAGTTTAAATTAGGTTACAGTTAAACTATTAGTTTTCCAACATTAGTAATGAAATGTCACTTGGATCAGTCCCGTGACAAGAAAATCAAAGCTTTACTGCCCTTACTAAGTTAAGGATACGTGTAATTTTTTTGGATGGTGTTTTCAAAATTTGACGTTATGATCATGGCTTTTTCTAAAGAATCCGGGGATGTTTTGGACATCAGTGTTTTTTGAGAGCAAATACCAGTATTTAGGGAAATAAGCACAGTTCTAAACGTTTTTCTTATTAAAAACTTTACTCAGCTGCTGTATAACCTGTAATAAAAATAGCTCTTGGTTTTTGTTATAGTGGCCTCACATGTCTTCCCTCTACTCTGGAGGATCAACCAGGGAAGATGAGGATGAGAAGTACATGGAACAAGTGACTGTGTTTGACAATGTTTACGAGAATCCATCGGAGCCCTACGGCGCCTATAAATTCTATATGGCGCCACGGGAGGAGTTTGTCATTCAATCCGAACCGCACCTCTATCCTGCCAGAGCCATGTACAAAGAGGACGATGAGAGGACATCCGGTTACGCTACAAGTGGCGGATCCAGTACTTTCAGAGATGGATCGACGCGGAGAATATTACTCTGTGTTTTTCTTATATTTCTACTTATTGGTGCAATAATAGCCGCAGTTACTATGGCTGTGTTAAGTAAGCTTTCGTTTTATGTTCCCCCAAGTTTCTCCAGTCTTTGATAATTAATGCAACTTAATTCTTGAAGTTTTTGATGATGCATATACTCTCTCGTTCGAAAGGAAAAATATTATTTGTTTTATGGATTCAAATTAAAACCGAGATCATTCTTTTAGAGAAAAGAATAAAAATGACAAATGAGTTATTTATTAAGTATAACATAAATTGATAGAATGCATATTAGATAGAAAAAAAAGACTATTAGGAATGCTAGTACATGTAAAAGACCCTAATTCATATTTTTGCTTTTATCTTGACAACAAATGTTATGATTTATCAAATAGCTAAATTTATGAGAGACTTTTGTAATAGAATTAAAGATTAAAATCAGATTAACATTACATTACATTGCAATTATCAAAAACGGATTAGGTAGATGTATTGAAGTCTTGACTTTAGATTAATTAACCTTCTGATTAATTCTACAAAGTAAAAATTCTAATTCATTCAACTAAATATATCTATCATATTTCTTTTTTTAAATTAAATTTTGCAGTTTCCCACCAGAGAAAGACAAAACCATTGAAACCAGATTCACAACAACAGAGTAAGTCTCTTGATTTTTCAGCCCTTGTTAAAAATGGATATTACTTACACATTGTTGTTATTTCCATTAAATCACGCAGAAATTGCTGTAAAATCGAAAATCAGAAGTGAATTTATATAATTTGTTTGGAAACAGGAGTGTTGGAGTCGAACATCAGAATTGCCAATAGAACATATATACCAGAATATAGTGATCCAAACAGTAAAGGGTACCAAATACTAGAGGCAGAATTTTGTGAGGCAGTGAGTGAGAGGGGGAAATCTTTTTGTTACAATTTTTTAAGTATATCAGATTCTTTGATGTTCTTATTCCTTCAATAAATGGCTAACAAATGTGACGTTTTGATATGAACTAATAATAAACTACTGTACTAAATATTTACAGATTGATGCAATGTTCCTACGTGGTGATTCTCCAATGAAAGATAACTACAAAGGTTGCAAAGTCTTAAGTTTTAGGTAAGTCTAAAGAAAATCTGAGTATCCATCAATCCATATATTTTTTGTTTGTGTTTAAAAGGTACATTTCAAAAGTATATCAAGTAATCAGCATTTCTAATATAACAGGAAGTCAAATTGAATACCTTTATTTCTATATAGGTATGGAAGTGTTATAGCCCGATACTTGTTGACTTTCATCTTGAATGATAAGAAACCTGTCGGAACAGTGGTTGACGAAGTAGAAAACTTTTTAAAAGAAACTATTCCAAAAAAAGGCATATGGAATCCATTGTTGCTTGACGGAAAAATTGTGAATTTTTATCCAGTGGAAATTACAAAACTTGATTCCACTGCAAGACCACCGGTAATAAAAACAACACCAAGGGATGTTGGTAAGAAGATTGTTTCAGTTTCAAAAGGACCACCTGTGGATGTATCTAGGTCACCTCGAATGGACTTGGAAATAGATTCCTCTACTGACTTGCCCAAAATGACGACAAGGAAAGAGGATTTATCAAAAGTGTATTCTTCCTTGGAGAAGGACAGAAGTGTAGAAATTAATAAGATGTCTAGATTGAGTGAGAGTATTGATATACAATACCCATCTAAAAGTTCAATTATGTACAAATCTGAAATGCCAGCTTCTGTGTCCAGTTCCTCCAAAATATCGACGCCTAATTTAGATCTATTGTTAACTGGGACTGTTGACATTTTCGATAAATTTTTGTTATCAGATTCAAACCTTCATCCAATGTCGTCAGTAAAACACAAACTGGACGCTACAGCTACGACTGATACAGGAGCTACTGTATCCAGGGTTGTTAGGTTTGATCCGTCTCTCCAGGCTGAAATCGATAGGGTATTGGGTGCTCATTTACCTTCTGCATCACCTTTATCGGAACAATCTATCGATTTTTCATCTTCTTTCGAAATCGCACAACCTGACTTGAAAATCTCGCAAACACCATCTGTGTTGCACATTGAAAGCACTGAGGAAGATTTGTCGAGAACTGTCTTTATAAGGCCATCGCAAATAAAACATTCATCAATAACTGTCGAGCCTTTTACTGATGATTTCTTTGGATTTCTCTTTCAAGGTTCACCATCGTCCAGGAACCCAACCGACTTTCCTTCACGATTTGAAATTGGGGATCCCCATAAGAACACTGCGGATAACCTATTCTCAGATGGCGGTTTCGGTGGATTTTTATTTCCACAACCTAATATCAGAGAACCATCGGAAGGTATTCTCCCACCAAATATTTTTATGCTTCCTACACAAAGTGTGTATATGCCCGTTACATCTATATACGATGCTAAAGTGAGTAGCGAACAGAAAGGATTTTCCGCATTAGACTCGGAAATAAGGAGTTCTCTGACAGCTATGGATTATGAAAAGACAGTGGGCAAGTTACCTCCAAATCAATCGATGCTTTCTTCACACAGTGATTCTTTTACTTTAACCACTTCTATGCATGAAACACAAACGAGTCAAAGATATGCAGAGATTATTAATTCGGATTACCAAAGCCCAAGCTCTGTTTCATCAATTGATTTGTTTAGGGAAACAAGCTCCAAAATCGATACATCTTTAGAGAGTAGATTAAAAACGGATGGATTTTTGAAAGTACAACTTTCAACAGAATTGCGAAATACTGACTTACCTAAAACGGAATCGGTAACATTTTCACAAACTATCTCCCCATCAGCTTCTGTTTTGCAATCACAAGGTTCCTCTGAGAAAACAGTTACTCCTGCATTTTCTGGTATCATAACGGACATTCCTATTGATACTGAATTACAAGGTGTATTTGATAATTTTTACAATGTGAAAAGTGAAATTTCCCCGATTGTTTCTAAGGATTATTCTTTATTATTAAATGGGCCGGAGAAAACATCAGCTGCCTCTGCAGGTCAAGAAGGTTTACTGACTGTGATAAATCGTTCTTTGTCTGGACATCTCCAATCATCTGAGTTGGTTGTTTCGTCATTTCAATCAGAATATATTAATACGAAAATATTCAGTGACTCAACCTTATCAAAGGACAAATCTAAAATTTTCTCAGCTACTAAGTATGAAGACAAATCTTTTACAAAGTCTCTTTTATCCGCTGATGATTTTTTGCGAAAGAAAACTGAGGTATTATTTACTTCATCAAAGGAAACGTCAGTTAAACTAAAAAATTTAAACATTGATACCATGCCATCAACCATAATATTAGATAAGATTGATATATTGCCAACATCATCAGCGGAATACAAAACTGATGTAGATGCCAGCAATCAAAGAGCATCTTCTGGACTAAAGCAAACTCCATCCGAAATGAACCTCATTCTGATGTCAGGTAGCAAAACTGAACAGCTGCATTCTATTACATCTATTTCTAGTTCTCAACAGATTTTATTACCTGTCGACAGCGGAAGTGGATTGCCTTTTGAAGATTATGCGCAAAGTAGTTTGTTAAGTTTGCCATTACTGGCATCCCAAATTGAATCTGAGAGGAGTCTCATCTCAAAGCCTTTATATTTATCGCAATCGACAAAATTTACTGATGTAGTCCCATCCCATGAAACTACCACTCCTATGTTTTCTGAAATGTTACCCGAATCTGTGTTGGAAAAAGAATTACAAAGTGTTTTCAATAAATTTGACAATTTGAAGAGTATCATTTTACCGATTGATCAAACAGGTCTTACAATATCTTCATCAAAACAGGATAAAGCATCAGTTAATTTAATGAGTGAGCAAGAGGTAGGGACGATTGATACAATGATGGAGTCATCTGCATTCGAGCTGTCATCCTTTGCATCTGGGGATAGAAAATCAGAAATGCTTAGTGATACAATAGATACATCTGGTCTCTTCTCCACTTTCGGCCATGTGGACATTTCCTTGCAATCTCAGTTTCACTCACAGAGTATTCAAGAAACAAAACATTTATTCAGCACATCATATTATATTTCAGAGACATCAAACTTATTTCACATTGATAACACACCATTAGTTGTTCCTTCAAAGCAGATACAAAATTCGTTAAATCTAAAAGCCACAGATAATCTTATTTCAGAAACCAGTCTGTTTAAAACTGAAGAGTTTAAGCTTCATTCAGAGGAATGGAAGGATTCTAGTCAATTCTCCGTAAAGGATGATTCATTTATATCTACGTCTCATTCCGACTCACTTATCCATTCAACACAAGCAGTGCTATTAGTTGATTCATCTTCAGTGAGTGAAGTTCATCAAAATACAGAACAGGGATTAAAGTTATCTGAAATGTCCATGTCAGCTCTCAAATCACAAGTAATATCGAGGGACTTCTCCGAAAAAATGCCATCGGCAACTTTAACAGAACAGCTTTCAAGCAGTGATGTTCAACAAAGAACGAACTTGGACTTTGTTCCATCTGAAATTTCTATATCTAGCATCAAATCACAATCAATTAAATCCGAGAGCATATCAGGGTACGAACAATTGTCAGATCTAGGAGGTATGCTTTGGTCAATGAGTGAAGTTGATCACAGTAGGATTGGGCGAGAACAGTCTTCAACTAGTGCTGCTGTTCATCAAAGTTCGGAATTAGATTTGATTCCATCTGAAATACAAATGTCAGAGAGAAAATTACGAACAATGATATTCGATTCCTTTTCAAGAAGCTTAAGTTTACAACCGACAAGGCTAGGAGCTGAACAATCTTCAATGAGTGGTGCTCGTCAAAGTTCTACATTGGACTTGATGCCATCCGAAATTCGAACGTCGCAAGCGATGATATCGGAAGTTGTTTCAGAGAACGTACAATCATTAGGACCTGAACAATTACTGATGAGCGATGTTTATCAAAGTGCGCAATTAGACTTGATGCGATCTGAAATGTCGACAATTAACATTAAATCACAATCATTGAAACCAGAGAGCAGTTCAGAATACGAACAAAAGTCCGCTCTAGGAACCATACCTTTGTCAATGAGTGAAGTTGTTCAAAGTACGCTTGGTTGGATGAGGTCTGAAATTACTAAGTCAAATATGAAATCACAAACATTTAAAACAGAGAACTTTTCAGAAAGACAAAATTCAATATTGAAAGCTAAACAAACATCACTCTATGATACCATATTTAAAATGGAACCATCTGAATATTCGATACTAAATAGCATGTCAAAACCAATATATAAGGACTTCTCAAGGAAAACCCAGATGTTGATGTTCGGAGAAGAGCAATTCTCAACGAGTGGTGTTTATCAAAGTACGAAATTGGAATTGATGCCATCTATGATTCAAATGTCGGACAGAAAATCACAAACAATGATATTAGGATCAATGGAATTTTCTGGACTAGGAACTGAAAAATCTACAATGAACGATGCTCACCAAAGTTCCATATTTGACTTAACGCCAATCGAAATGCAAACCTCAAATAGAAAATCACAAGCAACGATTCTGGAAATTGCTTCAGAGAACGTACAACTGTCAACACTAGGAGCTGAACAATCATCAGTAAGTGATGTTTATCAAAGTACAGCACTGGGTGTAATGCCGTCTAGAACATTGTTTTCAGACAGGAATTTGCAAGCAATAATATCAAAGGACAATTTGAAAAAAATACAGCTGTCAACATCTCAACAATCTTTGATGGGTAGTGTTCCATTGGACTCGATACCATCTGATATACTCATGTCCGATATCAAGTCTCAAACAATTAACCTTGGAGATGTTTCAGAGGTCATGAGATTGTCAAAGTCTGAACAAACCTTAGCGAGTAACATTCAGTTAGGTACAGTACGTGGTGTGTCCTCTGAAATTCCTATATCATATGTCACGTCACACACAATGTTACACGAGTCCATATCAGAGAATGTACAAGTGTCAGATAATGGATTTAAACAATTTTCATTAAATAATTTTCATCAAAGTTCAGTACTGAATTTGATTCCATCTGAACAACATTTGTCAGATGTCAAATCAGACGCAATAATATCTGAAAACCTTTCGAAGAGCATGGAATTATCTACGTTTGGGGCTGAACAATCTTTACTAAGCGATATTCAGCAAGGTAAATCATTGGAATTAAATCCTTCTGGAGTTGCAAAGCCAGATATCATCTCGCAGACAATGGTATCAAATATTTTGTCAGAGAATGAAGTACGAGGTGTGGTGTCTTCTGGAATTCCTATGTCACATGTCACGTCACGCACAGTGTTACATGAGTCTATATCAATGTCAGTGCATGAATTTGAACAATCTGCAATGAATAATCTTCATCAAAGCTCAGTATTGAATTTGATGCCATCTGAACAACATATGTCAGATGTCAAATCACAAGTAATAATATCTGAAAACCTTTCAAGGAACATGGAGTTATCGACGTTAATACCTGAACAATCTTTACTGAGCGATATTCAGCAAAGTACATCATTGGAATTAATGCCCTTTGAAGTTACAAAGCCAGATATGATATCACAAGCAATCGTATCAAATGTTTTGTCAGAGAGTACAGTGCGAAGTGTGGTGTCCTCTGAAATTCCTATATCACATGTCACGTCATACACAATGCTACACGAGTCAGAGAAAGTACAAATGTCAGTCCATGAATTTGAACAATCTTCAATGAATAATCTTCATCAAAGTTCAGTACTGAATTTGATGCCATCTGAACAACAAATATCAGATGTCAAATCACAATTAATAATATCTAAAAACCTCTCGAGGAGCATGCCATTATCGACGTTAGTAGCCGAACAATCTTTACAGAGTGATATTCAGCAAAGTACAACATTTGAATTATTGCCCTCTAAAGTTGCAATGCCAGATGTCATATCACAGTCAATCCTATCAAATATTTTGTCGGAGAAAGCACACTTGTCTACATATAGAGCTGAGCATTCGTTAGTGGGCAGTGTTCTTGAAAGCTTTGGAAGCACAACTGATGAACTGCTAAAAGATACATTAAACATTATAACCCAACCAAGTAATTCATTGTTGAGTGATTCTAAAAGAACATCTCTTCATTTAAAATCTTCAGATTCATTTTATACCTCAGTAAAAGACGCCGTAAATTCTGAAGAGGTTGTTGATGCTTCTGTGATGACGGGACCAGATAAAGATTTTAAAACCATGATTTCTGACCCCTTATCTTCTGTAGGTATTCCTTCACACCTGACAAACATATTGGATTCACAGTCTTCCATGCTACATATTAGTGACGGCTTTACAAACAAAATACTGACAAGTTCAAATTACCTTGAACTATTGAATTCAGATTTTTGGGGATTAAACAGTAATGTTATTACATCTGTTTCTTCAAGAACTGCAACAGGAATTACTACATCTCCCACTATATCCGTTCAATTCTCTGATCCTTTTACAAGGAGTTCATCGTATACAGCATCACGTTTTCCTGAAAGTTTTATTTTTGAAAGTGGATTAGCACCAACAACAACAGCTTTGTCTTTTGCAACGGATTCTGTGTTTAATCCAGTACAACCATTAGAATCGGAAATGTGGAGTTCGGATGGTGATTTAGTATCAAAATCCTCTTACCCTTCGTTACTTTCCATTACCTCTCCTATCCTTAATCAACCCATAATTTCCGCCTCTAACATTAATAAGTCTACCTTTCCAACAACAATCAAGGTTTCACTAACAGTACCCTCTCCCGATCTAACAAATATTCCAATAATTCATTCGACGCAAACTCCCGAAATATTGATGACTTCTCCCAACCCAATCCTTTCCTCTTTGACTCCTTCATTTGAAAATGATCCTTCCTTGACTGAAACCTTTGCTTTATTATCCACAAACATATTTTCCAAAGATGATTTTATCAATTCAGCATTTTTTGATAATCATTGGTATTCAAATTCTTCTGATGAAATAAATGCAACACGGTCACAGATTGATTCATCTCCTGAAATGTCTTACTATGGTCAAAACACATTTATAAATGCAGTGAACGATACACATAAATCGATATTCTCAAAGATTACCAATGCATCCTTTTCTTCTTCATCCTTAGGTTTACATAATATCCCATATATTGATAGAACTGATTACTTTTCCCCAAACAATTCATTAGTAGATGAATATTCGTCCGTTTTATCCGCTGATACTTTTATGATTTTGAGTAGTACTTCAAATACGTTATCTCCCCTTTCTCTTAGTGACAGAAGTCAATTTGAAAATATAAAATCTGAAACTATTTTATCGCCATCAAGTTTAAAGTCACGTTATATGTCTCATTTTGTTAAAACCCCTACACTCTTTGGATCATCATCAGGTTTTATGACTCCAACCGACAATCCCGCATTAAGCAATATAATATCGACAAGTTCCATATCTCCACCACAAACAAATATATATGTATTATCAAGAATGACTAGTCCTTTACAAACTATTTTACACACAACCTCTGATGAATATAGAGACCTTTTCAATATATTTGACTCAAACACAACAGCAACCATGATATCACCAACACAAGCTGAGTCTTTGAATCCGTCACTAATGAATACTGAAATTCAGATGCCACTAGCTTTTGATTCTTCTCAAATCATCCTTTCCTCTATGAAAAAAGAAAATGATTCATTTAGTTTAGAATCCAGTCAATTTGATTCTTATATTACCACAAATTTAACGATGTTAGATATATCACCAACGCATATGGCGTCATATTTACCATCACTTATGAATAACGCAATGCAGTCGGTGACACCACTCTCTTATTATCATTCCCAAAACTTTCTGTTCGACGTGAGAGATCAAAGCGATTCAAATTATGCATATGATTCTGGTAGAGCAACAAATCCAACAACGGTATATGTATCGCCAACACAAGTGGACTCTTACTTACCGTCAATAATGAGTAGTGAAATTCAGTCTGAGATGCCAATAGAACAAACTACGCCTTATGACCCTTCTCAAGACTTTCTTTTTGATACGAATGAAACTAATGATTCTCTTAATTTGGGTCCACAGGTGATAAACCCTAACACAACCGATATTTTAATAAATTCACCACCGTATTTTGATGGTTCTAGTGTTATTTTTACAACGATTGAAAAAAGTGCTCAATCAGGTTTGCATGTATTAACCACTCAAAGCAGCTCACTTGAACATTCAAATGCATCACAGATTTACATTGATAACGTTTCTAGTATTTCTGATATGGAATCAAGTAATGAATTCCTGAAACATAATAAAAGTGATAAGACTGTTCAAAATATATCAGTGAATGGTTCATCTGAGCTCTTCGAGAGTTCACCTAATGGTGTAAGAGATTCTTTCCAGGGATCTAGCATTTCAACTACCCTTAGTATTAAACCTTCTACCACAGTGTGGACTTCAACCAGTTTTCCATCATTGGTGCAAGGCAGTTCTTCATCCAATCTACATGTTACTGACTTGACATATGTAGAGTCGCTCTTTGACCAAACACTTACTACTGCTCCTCATTCCAACATACCGCCAAGCCTTTCAACATACACTAACGATATTGTAGGTTCCATTGATGAAAGCCTTGTAAAAAACAAGGGCATTACAAACTTTGTTTCAATGCATAGCTTGAAAGAAAATGATCAGGCTATTCATGCGCTGAGCTCCTTTAAATCATTATACGTGTCAGATTCACAGACAAATAGGAATGAGAGAATAATGAATAAAGAATCCTCAGACTCTGTAGCATACCCAGTTCTTCGTAGTCGGAATGATAATGTGGTAACAGAAGCTTTGGTGCCATCATTTACCTCGGATTATTCATCCAAACACACACATGAAAGTAACATAGCGATCGAAACTCTGTCGCCGTTTTCTGTTCACGACATACTATATCCACACGAACACTTTTCTTTGGAAAATTTGAGGTCAAGCTATACCGATTATATTGATGATTCTTACTTTGAAATTAGTCTAAATCTAGAGTCTTTAACCCAGTTATCAGTAAATATAGAAAATGACCGGTCTTCAGATGTTTCAAGCAATGTATTTAATTTAGAATTACAAACAATATTTAGCCCGTCACAGTTTTCAGGTTACGAATATCAAGAACAAACAATAGGAAAGCTTTCGACAAAAACTCCAAGTTCAGTCACATCCATTGGCACATTTGCTATGAAATCCTCGATTAGTAAGTTTTCTACTAATGAAGTATCTAAATCTTCATTCTTTTCAAAAATCATTTCTTCGAATTCAGACCAGAAATTTACTGCTACACCTGTGGAAAATGTCTTTAAATTTGATAGTCCAACACCTCATGTAAATGAAATGCACCGTTCTTCAATGCCGTTTACTCCACTTTTGCAAACTGACATATCTAACATAAACATTCATACACGCCTATCAGAGTATACAAGATCTAGCTTCTTAGAAAATTCAAGTGGCATTTATCCTTCTTTAATTGATAAATCTCCTTCAGAAACAATTCAAAAATCGTCACCTTTTTATCGTTCAACAAAATCTACGCCTTTTACTTCTAAATCATCAAATACAGAAACATCTCCGATAAGTTCTTTTAAGAAAGTTGATGCTACAGCAGATAACGTAGAATTCATGAACTCATCTTCTCTAGATTTAGGAAATAAACTAATCACCAAAACTTCCTCAAGTTTTGCTCAAAATACCATATTTCAAACTCTAACAGATCTTTTCCGTTCAGAGCATTTATCCCAATTTCCACAAAATCTTGATCCTTTATTGTCTTCCCATGAGAAAACAGAACATTTATTTAGAAGTAACCATGCAACACAATTTTCAAACTCTTTACTGAATTCAAATTCCAATAAAATGCAGACGAATACATCAGCTTTTGAATCTTCAGAGAGAAATCCCGTCAGGCAATGGGAGAATACAATTCCCGAAAACAAAGTTATAAATACAGTAACCGGAGAGCGTTTGCATCTTGCGACCTCTACATATATTTCTATATCTTCTTTATTTGATATGTCTGATTCTGAAAATAAGAATTTACCGTTTAGCCAAAATGAAACAGACGTAGGAACACTTATCATTTCGTCTGATGTGAAATCGTCCAAAAAAAGTAAGAGCCATTCTTCTAGAGACCATTATTTATTTACTGCCGCTAACGATTACGACTACTATGCCACTGATCTGGACTTTGTTACTGATAATATTGACGTCACCGTAACCAGTTCTGTCGAGTCGTCGACTATTGCACCTTCTCCGACAAAGTCGGATAGTTTAAGATTTAGCACCCTGTCTGCACCTTTAAATCCTTATCTTCTGAGTCAAAATTCATATAGAAGCGTGAGTAGTCTAAGAACTACACAAAATGTGGGAGAAATGGGTAGTTTGGGGTCACTGGTAAGAGGAGTACCTATTATTTTGCCCGATACAACAGAGTCTAGAGAAACACAAAAGGATAGACATATTTCTTCAAATAACTCCCCTCCACAAAACAATGCAATCATCAGCACTCAAAGCTACCTTAAAAGTCCTAGTCATATTCATTCTTCTCAAACGACACAAATTATATCCTCCCTTCAAAGATTTCCACAAATTGACGTCACGATGACGACGCCACTAATAACTAAAACTGAACAACATCTGACTTCATCGATAATTCCAATATTCCCAGATGATCCGTTTGCCGGGTTTTTTGGTTCTGGGCCTGCCATACCACAATGGGTCCTTGATATGCTGGGTAGCGTACATGAGTCACCTAAATCATCAGTCAATCATTTTTTCAGACATTGAATTTATAAGTTCGATTGAAATTAAATATATCATTCTGTACACGTAGAATGCTCCTAAACAGGGCTTGTGAGAGGATTACATTCACTTTTGGGGAAATTTATCCTAAAGAAATCGTTTATCTATTCTTTTCAGATTGAAAAGTAAAGTCTGGTGTACTTTTATTGAGAAAAAATATTAAATTATCAAATTAAAGGGATATTTATGTCGTAAACATCCTGTCTAGTAACATCTAAAATTTTTGCAGCAGAGAACCGTGAGTAAGTAAATTAATTGTTTGTACATTTGCTTGTCTGTATGTGTCTTGATTTTAATTGTTCATTTGATATTTATATTTTAATACATTACTAAATGTGCCATCCCCAATCGTGCATGAAGTCAACATATTCGACCAACGTCACTACCTCCCCCAGCATTGCATGCTATATACTTTCACTCTGTCATTTAACCATTTTAAATCAATAGATTACCATTAGAAGCTTATTATCATTCACTGTGCTTCGATTTCTTTGAATGTCTTTCAGAGTCTTGTGCATGTTTTACAGGTGATAACAAACAAAAACACTTTGAACATAGTATACATTTTTTGTTACCACTTTCAAGTAGTGCATCACACGCTGTAAATAATGTTGTTTTTGTTTTCGTGTTTGTGTGAATGATGAATTGTTTTATTTTTTCAATCTGCATATTTTAAATTAGTTTTTGTATAATTTTTCACAATGCACAGTATAAATAATCACGTTCATTTTCAATGCACCTTTCTTATTTATCATAACTTTGAGGTATACATATAGTTGCTATTGATTAATACGTAGATAAAATTGCAGTAAAAATAGCGCTGAAAATTGTCACTGCTCTTCTTTACTGCAGCATGTAGAATTGCTTGGAAGATAGATCCTTAAGAAATTGCATACCTATTTTTATACTTTAATATATACTTATACTATACAGGGCTCTAATTGGCGAATAATTTAGTCGCTATGGCGCCTAAAAATTATGATTGGCGCCTAATTTTTTTCTATAAGTCGCCAAATTGGCGACCATTTTAAATACGTTCTATTTCCATTAGTGAACTCTTCAAAATTAGAGGCGCGTTTGGTCGTCTGACTGGGACAGCATGGCGTTGCGGATAATACAAAACATGCCAATCTCAATCCAATTTTAAATGTTAAATGTATTTGTCATTCCAATTAAAGAATAGAAGAACTAAAAGACATATGTAAGATAGCGAGAACCCTAAATTTATCATCCATTAATAAAAAATACGACATTTCCGAGGCATGTGTATTGTATTTAGATGTACCATACGATAAATAGATACATACGATCAACAATAGATATAAATTAATAGCGAGCGCAGCGAGCGGCGCATAGCGCCGCTTGTCACTGCGAGCTCTAACGACAACGCCTGGGCGAAGAGAAAATTCGGACTACTGCACATTCATTCAATAGAATTTTTTCTGCAGTAATTCTGGACCCACAATGCATCGTTTCTTGTTTTCGCTGCTAACTTCGTTCGCGTGGTAACAACAACTAAAAATTCACAAAAATAAACTCACCTTAATTTAATGGATATTGCATGCAGATAGTAGATTAAACGTTCTTTGTTAAAATCTTCGCACTTTTTAAACTTTGTTTATGGAAATGCAGATAACATACGACGTCATGTGACGTCAAAGTCTAGACGTTCCAAATGTCTCGTGCGGTTTGAAGAGGCGGATCTTAAAATGAAGTGAACAATGCGCTCGCCCCAACGGTCGCACCGTCAACATATTATCGATGTCATTCCTACTCTTGATGTATATAAAGTCCACATCAATAAAATATTTCATTTGCATTTTCTTAGGAATTGTTCATCGACATTCAACATATTGTTTACCTGTTCATGTTACGTTTGTCCCAGAAATCCCGCGAGATTTGTTCATTTTCCGACTTTTTCACAAAAGAGCGCACTAAGAAGTATAACTCTTCCATAGTGGAAATAGAACGTATTGACTTGGTGATCGTCAAATTACTGAACTATAAACATTTTCAATTCTTTTTAAAGAGTAGAAAAGAAGTTTAAAAGTTAGCAATTGACAAGTCTCTATATATTAACTAATATCACTTTTTAAATTGGCGCCTAAGAAAAAATGCCTGGCGACTAAAAATTTGCATTGGCGACTAAATATTTTTGATTAGGAGCCAATGTACACTTTAAGTTAATGCTTACTTATGTACACTTTAAAAACCAAAGAAAGGTGATATGCCTTCTAAATACAACTTGATTACTGTCAATGATCACTACTTTATTGTTTCATTCAGCTACACGTAAATGTTCCTATGGCATCTAAAATATTAGCGTTAAATTTATGTTCAGTCTAATGCTTGAGCGAAAGTTGTCTTTCCTTGCTTGTAATCAACAGTCTAAATTATTCCTTGGCAAATGATTTTTGACTCTCTTCCAAATACATCTTTCTGTATAAAAAAGAATACAGTTTTTAGGCAATTGCTTAATTTCAAACAGCTTAATCAAAGCTCTTCCGAACTTTCTTTCTTTAAGAGAGAAAAAACAGCATGCCGTAATTCAACAGATAGGATATCTTGGCAACGTTTACGAGATAGGTCGTAAATGAAATTTTAAGCGTGTATGTTTTACACAGTTCATTACAGAATTAATGACCTAGATCACATTGCGAGGGGATCTCTAACCTACCACGAACAAGGCAACACCTGTTTGTTAGTTATCTTAATTAAGTTTTAATTGCCATGTTATTCGTTAAGTCGTTTGCCTACACTAATAACTTGCACACACTGATTAAAGATGGCATATTTATATTGTGTTTTGACACGGTGTAGCAATTCCTCAAATGTTAACTGTCGTCCATGTTTCCAATTATTGAATATATATATACATGTCATGTATTAGTCTACAGTTCTCTGTAATATTCTTTCTTGTAGTATTTTTCTATACTTCATTTATCCAAAGTGATAATGAAGTAATTAATTGACTTAAATTCTAAAGAAGAAAAAAGTCCTGAATCTTTTGCAAAAGTTGCCAGTTTTACACTGCAATAACCGTCACTAGGCTAGGGATAGTGGCAATAACCAACTTAGTAATTTGAAGAAAAAAATGTATTGTTATTTTATTATCATTTTATTATAATTTTTAGAGAGAAGCTCCCGCAGACTAAATTTACTTGTTATAAAACTAGAGTTAAGCCATCTTTATGATAGTTCTACACAATTTCACGATTCCATAAAAAGTCACGAGATTTTAATCGTTAAAAACGAAATGAAGTGTTCGAATAGATTACAGAAATATCTAGTTCGGTACAAAACAGTTAAACACTCAAATGTTTTAGTGGTAAGTTAATTGTCCATATATTTTGTAAAGTCTGAGTAGTTATATGTGACCTTGTTCTTCCGATATCCTCTCTTTTATAGCAGAGGTCTAAAAAGTACGACGTTTTCTCTGTCCTAAATTCTGACCATGTATTCTTGATTTGTCTTTAGAATATTTGTTTTACACATAAGAAGAATACGGCAATAATTTAACTATTTATTATTATTTAATTGTGTACAATATTGAAGTATTTATGGAAAAGCGATTATGTGAAATATGTCATTTTCTTTTATAAATTTAGTTTTTCGTCACCGGATAAAAGAAAAGACATTTTGTTTCAATTTCAAAATTACTTATACAGGTTAGCAATATATTTTATCAATTCATAAAGTGATATCTCGGAATGAATGAATACGATCAAACTTTTCATATTGATTCAAGAAACACTGGTTTTACATCCGAAGCAATTTCAAATTAATTATAAGATAATCATTGTTGAGCTTATATCGTCTCTAAATCGGACAAACCATTCCCTGTCTGCCTCTCTGTTTCTGATTGACCATCACTGACGTAGGTCACTAAACAGATAATTTGTTACAATCGGAATGTAAAGCAATAAATTGATTCACAAGCACAGCAATATTGTTGGCATGCAGTAAAGAGTATTAGCGAAGATAAGATGCGGTATCGCATTTCTCCAAAACACATGATCTGCATGTAATTGCAACTCACTGATTGCGCTATCGGCAGCCTTGTGTGTTGTGGGATCATTAAGGTAGTGTAGCTATTACTCGATAGCTTAATTTTCGCCAGCAATTCATCAACATTCTTACCCCGCTTAGGGCTAGATAGGGGGAAAGAAAATGTGTGTAATTAACAAGGAACTTTTGTTTGTTATCTCTTGACCCGAGTCCTGTCTGATGATATATGCATGTCTGCTAATCACAGCAAATGTTTAGGGCATCAACTGATGGCATTGTTATCTTGAGGTTTGAAGCAAGGTGCACAGAAATTGATGAGAAAAAAGTGCATTCCATATGGCGATTGCCAAATTTTGCAGGTCGCTGTAAGACTTTCTATGTTTACTTTCCATAAAAGATTCTGGTCGTTCTAATAATCTAGACCTAATGCATGAATGGACATGAGGATATCCGTCCATCTGTTACACTTCGGGGTAACCATCCCTTATCCATAATTCTTCTTGTACCACTGAATGCAATTAAAGGAAGCTTTCACGAAGTCTTTATTACATATAGTGCCATTGTGCATTTCTTTTACGTTTCGTTAGGACACATATTTGGGGTATCCCAGAGCAAACATGGACACTGCCATTCTCTCTATAATATTGGGAGTACCCATCTCTTATCCGCAACTTTTCTTACACTACTTAATAAAATTCAATGAGACTTTCACAGGAACTTTTTACCTAGTCCACTGTGCACCTACTATTTCACTTTCTGATCGGACAGATATTTGGGGTTTCTCATAGCAAAACATGGATTTTGCCATTATACTCATATGTTAGCGGGGGTATCATTTTGTGAGTTCAGTGCTCACATTACCTCTAGTTTCATATTTTTTAACTCACCTGAGCTGAAAGCTCAAGTGAGCTTTTCTGATCACCCGTTGTCCGTCCGTCTGTCTGTCCGTCCGTCTGTAAACTTTTCACATTTTCAAC